AACTTCAAAACTATAGTAGTTTGGACATTTTTTAGAACTTATTTATTCTAAGTGCTTCTGTTTTCTGGGGAGTTTGTAATGTCAGTTTTGGTGGGATAGTTTCTAGTTTGAAAGCAATGTCTTTAAAGATTAAAGCAACCAGGCAACATTTTATCAATTTTCCACCTTTATCACTGTGTGTGTGTGTGTGTGTGTGTGTGTGTGTGTGTGTGTCTTGGGTCAGGAAAAAGACATTAAAATGGGAACATAGGCAGCCAGAGAGAAATGTGGCGTGAGGTTTGTGGTTGCATTAATGCCAAAAACTAACATTTATTGATCATTTGCTACATCCCAGCACCATCAGTTTTGACCCATGAAAGCGATTGTTTTCCTCAAATAATAAATAAAATACCTGTATAGTATAAATACTCTTTTTTCCTTGGATCTTCAAATGTAGCTCATTTATATGCATTGTGAAATAGGTCCCTCTTAGTGACTACGAAAATATTCAGAATTGGTTCGTGAGAAGCAAAGACAATTGTAACAACTTTTATAAAATGTTTTTCAACTACACAAATCATGTCAAAATAAATTTTTTTTTTTGTACTGAGGATCGAACTCTAGACCTTGCTCTTGCGAGGCAGGCAGTGGAACCACTGAGCTAAATCCCTGGCCAATGTAATATTTAATTCTTTTATATAGTTCAGTAAAAGTATTAGTTGTCCCTTTAAGATATTGGGTAGTATAACAAAGTTTGAGAGCAGGAGATGTCTTAGAATCCCTAGATCATCTGTGCTGTATGACAGGAATAATACACATCAGGGCTGGGGATTTAGCTCAATGGTTCTGCCACCTGCCTCGAAAGCACAAGGTCCTGAGTTCTATCCCTGGTACCCCCCCAAAAAATTGCAGTTAAAAAGTTGATTTATGCTATTCCAAATACTACTAAAAAATCTTCCAATAAATGGAGTACCAAAAAATCATTTTTCTTTAGTATTTGTACCTGTATTGACAAAACTGTTGAAGAAAAGGAACCATTGTTTTTATTTCAAAGCAAAAACAAATCAAGTATACTGCAATTGAAGTCTGCTGCACATTTATGCTGCAAAAGGCAAAATTACTATTGATTTATACTGTGAAAAGTCTCAGTTTTCAGAAATTCCTATCGAGTTAGGTCAGAAATAAGTTACTTTCTCCTTAGATCTTTGAAATTACCTTATTCATATCCATTGTGAAATGGTGAAAAAAACATAAATTGCACTGAGATTCTAAATATCTCTTCTTAGTTTTGAGGTTTGAATACTGCCAAGTGTTTCTTTTAGGAAAATCATGAATTGGAGTTGACAGTGCTGTGCACCTTTGTAAGCCTCTTCTATGACTCAAAGATATCAACATTGGCAAAGAACATGAGATCACTGAAATTATTGTCTTCTATTTAATAATTTCAGATGTTTATGATGATTCATAGTATTTATATATACTGAACATTTTAATTACTTCCCCTCTGAAGCACAATCTGTCTCAGGTTACAGATGTTTGTAATATATATCACATGGTGGAACAAAATGAGAAATAATTTCAGTAAGTCTAGGTTTTGATGGAACACTGTCTTGCTAAAAACTAGCTTTTTCATATTTAGCTGAAAGCAATGATAAAAGTTTAAAAAATACCTACAACATGAAATTATTTTTCAGATTTTAAATAGGTGAAGACATTTATTTGTAAATTTGGAAGTCATTTGAAACAAAACATTTCCAAAGTTTTAATTTGACACTATCACTTATTATAAAACCTCATATTAAAGCCAAAATTAAAACTACTTGCAGTTTTTCAGTTTGACTTGATCTTTAATACTGTTAAAAATGTCCTTTTTAAATTGATAGTTGCCTGGTGGCTCAATTAAAGATCTTCCTTTTTTTTTCTCATAATACCTGTACTATGAGTGTGAACCCATGGGTGCACAAATGATCGCCAGGTGCTCTACCACTGAGTCATGTCCCTAGCCCTTTTTTTTCATTGTTTATTGGTACATCTTAGATGTACAGTACAGTCACATTCATCATTGGGATCTTGTACCTTTACATGATGTAGCATGGTTCTTATTTTTTCCCAATTCCCCTTCTCTCCCTTTACCCCCCTCCCTATTTACAAAGACTGGTTCCATTTTTTCCTTTTCTCTTATTTTTTTCTCCTTCTTTCCTTTCTCCTACCCCTCCTACTTCCCCTACTCTTTAGAACTTTTCTTCCTATTTCACGTTATCAATTATACATTTTGATCCTTACTGAGCACTTTTCATTGATTTTTTTATTCTGAGTAAGGCTTGTCCATCGTCCAAGCTGTTCTCAAACTTGTAACCATCCTGCCTCAGCCACTGTAGTAGCAGAGATTATAAACATGCACCAACATACTCAATAAAGATCTTGCCTTTTCTCTCTACAGTATCCCTTTTATTTTCAGTTTTTCCTCATAATTTAAAAATAATTTTCTTTAACTGAAATAATAGACTAAATTTTATCTCTCCACCTATAAATGTTTTTCTTTCTTGAACAAAAATCTCAGCCATTTTATAGCTGGCCAAAATTACAAATTCAAGTCTTTTAAAAATCATTAACTTATTTTTTTGTTGTTTCATTGATGGTGACTAATTTCCTCAATTATTTTTTGACTAGGGTATCTTTTTATTAAGAATGCACTTGCTGGAGATTTCCTCAATATTATGTACTTTATTATCTTAATACTTATTTGTACACAGCTTTTTCATTTTGTGCTGCTGCAGCAAATTACAATTGTCATTCTCTGTTAAATTTGTAATATTCCTTTGAGGCTTTATCTTTTTTTTTTTTTTGTGTGTGTACTGGGGATTGAACTCTGGTCCTTGTGCTTGCAAGGCAGGCCACCGAACCGCTAAGCCAAATCTCCAGCCCCTAGGCTTTATCTTCATCTTTACTTGATTCTATCTCAGTAGTATGCCTTCATTTGAAAAAAATTTTCCATTCTTAATTTTTTTTCCTCATTGAGTTTAGTGGTACATATTAGGTATATAGTACAGTTACATTCATTATTGGGATCTTGTACCTTTACATGACAGGTCTTGGTTCTCATTTTTTTCCCCTTGTCCCTGCCCTCCCTTCTTCCATTCTTGATTTTTGAACTAGAAAAAATTAAATTGTTATAATTAAAATAAATATTTGATTTACATAGGTGTCACTATAGCTCATGCTGTCTGCATAAAATGCTGAAGTAAACATACTATAATGTGTTTTATAGAAAAGGGTTTCATACTTCTACAATTACTTGCTTTCTTAAAGCAAATACTTTTTCTTGTGTGTGTGTGGAGGTTAGAGGTTCACTTTTCAGTTATATGAATTTGCTGTCATACTTCATTTCTCAGGTGAACACTAGCATTTAGAGTAGTTTTTATTTTAAATGCTGAGTATTGCTTTATCCAAACTATATGCATAAGTTTATGGAGAGAAAACGAAAGCAGGAATTAAAGTAGTTAACAATGCGGTTTTGTTCTTCAGTGAATGCTTAGCGTTTATGGAGGTATAGTGCCCAAAGCCTGGGTTTATAGACAAAGCACACTCTATCTACCCTCTTAACATGTATTCTGAGAGGAGCAAAGAGTTACAGCTTTTCACTAATTTAGTACTTTTGTGTATATATCATAAAATCAGTGAGAAATTTATTATCTTCCCATGGTGGTTTGATCACAGAAAGATGGTCTAGGATATGAAAGGTTGTGTTTTCTGTTTGTGGAAAAGTTAGAGATTGACCCCAGGAACTTGGAGAATGCAGTAGACAAATCCTGATTGATGGTATTGGTGGTTCTTTGTGAGGTGTGTATTAAATAGTGGCATTGCAGTTAAAAGTTTTTAAAAGCGTTCACTCAGAATGTTCACTCGAGTAAAAGTCACAAGCTATACTTTTGTGTAAGATTGTTCTTTAAAAATCATTTTACCTCCAGGGATTTAGCTCAGTGGTTCTTCTACCTACCTCTCAAGCATAAGGTCCTGAGTTCAATCCCCAGTACCCACCCCCAAAATCATTTTTCCCACTCCTCATTTTTTATAGACTGGTTTTATCTATCTGTCCTTTAAATTTTGTTAGAGATTACCTAATTTTTACTAGCTGCTACGCTTTCAGAGTTTCTTTTGCTCACAGTGGCAGTATTATTTACATTTTTCTTTGGTAGTTATAATAGGGTTTTAAAAAAAGCTGTATATTTAAAATAATTTCTTAGTGCCAGCCCATTTCTTTTTTGTAATTTTCTTGTTAAAATTGCCTTTATTTCAAGAAAAAAATTAATTGCTAATGCACAGGTTAAAGTTTATTATGTATCACTCTTTGTATTATTTGGTTATTGGCATGCTGAAATACAATGTCAATTTTTTAAAGAAACCTTAAACATTTTTCTTCAAAAACACTTAGCAAAAATACATAGCCACTGACTCATATTTTAGTTTTCTAGTACCTGAGAATAAAGATGCATTCTTCCCAATTCATCTGAATTCATTTTTATTTTTTTCCCAGTACCAGGGATTGAACTCCGGTCCTTGTGCTTGCAAGGCAGGCAGTGGAACCACTGAGCTAATCCAGCCCCTGAATTCTATTTTAATTAAGTAAAATTTAAATGTACAGCTTTTAATTAATTTGGGTTGAAATTCATCACCTTAAAGTGTTAGGCTTAACGCTACATGAGAAGATGGATGATTTTTCTTTCTTTTCCATGTATGATGTACCACTAAAATGTACACACAACAGCTTACCTCATTTTCAAAGGAAGAACAGAAGTTTTAAATAAAAATGTGAAAAGAAGCTAGTGCCTTTGTGGCCTTTTTAGAAGGCTCTTAAAAAAACATTCTGTTGGATTCCAGATCGTCTTTAATCTTACCACCAACAGTCACTGTCTGCAGAGCCATGTGATCATTCATCTTGGCAGCAGTCAGGTCTTTTAGTGATTTCATTTCTGCGGATTCCTCAAGCTCTTTATGCACATTGATTAATATTTCCCTTACAGTTATCGCTGTGATGATTTTGTGGTTAATGACACCAAGTTGGGGCTGGTACAGAAAGTCAGAGAACACTTACAGAACTTGGAAAAGTAAGTACTTTGTCTTGGGAAAGGGAAGGGGGATGGAATGAGCTTGAAGTCATTTAGAATTTTTGAATGGGATCTTGATCTGTGGTGTCTATAACTTCATCATGTTTTAATGTTATCGGAAGTGTTCTTAACTAATCCTTGAATATGCACATCTGAAACTCTGCCCATATTTCATTTACTATCTTTTATCTATCATAAACATATCCAAAGGCCCATTTAAGAAACTTATTACCAGTTTAGAAGCTATTTGCAAGGAGAGTTTTGGAGGTACAAAGAAAATACAGGAAATGATATAAAAGAATTACAGAGTTTCTTGTATTTGGTATTAGAAAAATCTCTGGCAAATGTATTATGAGTTCTACTTAAAAAGACTAACATATGCATTATTTTAAAAAATGAGTTTTATGTATTCTGTACTTTGCATCTATATAAATAGTGTAGGATCCTCCTAGTTTCTTCGTTTCCTTTTTTGTTAGAGGCAGTACATGTAATTTGAAATTGAAAGAGCTGTGAATGCTTTGAGATCATAGAGGCATTGAAGAATTTATGTGAATAGATTTTTCTTGGTATAGTCAAATAGCTTATTCAGATAAAACTTGCTGGACCCGAAACTGAAGCCATAAAAAGAAACCCAAATAGCAATGCCTTTGAAGTGCCAGTGGATAGAATCATGGGCCTGGAATGACTGCTGACTCAAGTGAAATCTGTGTAATCACCGCAGATCATAAGGTGCCATCTAATTTATTTTCTCAGTTGATGTATAGAAGGCACTGTGAAAACATGTCCAAAGCAGGGATCCCTTGGCAAACTTAAAGGCAAAGACAATAGATAGTCCAGAATGTATACTGAGAGAAAATAGCCTACCTTTCTTGAGTCAACACTGTATGGTGTTTGGTAAACAGTCTTTTTTTTTTTTTGGTACTGGGGATCGAATTTGGGACCTTGAGCTTGTGAGGCAGGCAGCTAAATGTCCAGTCCTGTTAACCAAGGTCTTGGTGCATGCTTATTGCTTTCAATAGATTATAAAGCTAATAAAGGAAGGAAGAATCTAGATGAAAACACTTTGTGTTTAAGTACTTCTTCTTGTCAGGCCCCTCCCCCCCCATACCAGGGATCAAAACCAAGACTTTGCACTTGTCAGGCACATGTGGCACCACTGAGCTACATCCTGTCCCCACCCTCCTTTTTTTCCTTCCTTCCTTCCTTCCTTCCTTCCTTCCTTCCTTCCTTCCTTCCTTCCTTCCTTTCTTCCTTCCTCCAGTACTGGGAATCAAACTCAGGACCTTGTGCTTGCTAGGCAGGCACAGCGCCAGTGAGCTACATTCCTGGTCCTTTGACTCTTTTTCAAAGTGCTTTTTTCTTCCTTTTAATTTGAGCTGAGCACCATGAGCCTGTATAGAATTAGAGACACATGTATGGATATAGAGCCAAACTGTTTGATTTTATGTGGAATTGCTCACAACTGCAGTAGGAGATTCCTGCAGTAATCTGTGTAGTGTCACTCTTGGTGTGGTGATGTCATTGTAAAGATCTTACATGCTTAGTTTGTTCATTTAAGAAGTGGGTAGCTACTAGAATATCTCCTCTACCGTTTACAGTTTTCTTTGAGAGAAGAGCCATCTCAGTTTGAAGTAAATTAATCAGAACTAAGTCAGAAGGAAAAGAGGATTTTCCAGGATGTACTTATTTTTAAATAGTTATAAAATACTTCATTTCCACTGACTACTCCATCAAGTACGAGGCATCACATAGGACTCTTTCCACATTTCTACTTGGCCTCACTGAAAAATTACTTGAGGTCCATTTCCCATGTTGAGAAAATTGCCTAAGTTTATTTTTATGTTTTGCAAACTTAGGCTGGAATCTGAAAACTGATTACATTCGCATTCATCTGGGCAGCACTGTCTGGTACAACTAACAGCCTGGAGTGGTGGGCGTGTGCTGTGCTCTGCCCTTTCTTACGTGGTCACACTACCATATGGCTTCATATGGCTGTTGAGCACTTGAAAAGCTGTTAACACCATTGAGAAACTGAGTTTTTGACTTTTCATTAAGTTTAAATTTAAATAGCCACAGGTACTGAGGAGCTACCATATTACTGTGCCATTTTGAGACTCCCTCAGGATAAATATAACTTCTTTAGGTTAAAACTAAAAGTAGTTGGGCCGGGGATTTAGCTCAGTGGTTCTGCCACCTGCCTTGGAAGCACAAGGACTTGAGTTCGATCCCTGGTACCCCCCCAAAAAAAAGTAAATAAAATAAAAGTAGTTATTGTCACTAAATAATACTTACATGAGGCATGATCATAAAATACAGTGAATGCTTAAAAGTCTTTTAGTAAATATTAAATATTTATTATACTAAAGATACATTGCCATTAACCCCTCTCAAAATCCTCCCCCTCATCTTGACACACTTGCCTTTCATTCTCACCACTTTCTGAAGCAGTTGTGGAAGTCCTTTTTTTATGAGTGTCTTTAGTTGTGTTGATGTGGCTGCTTCACTGTCCTGAATCAATTCAAAACATTTACATTTCATGGTCATTTTGACTTTGGGGAAGAGCCACAACTCGTGATACCAAATCCAGTAAAGAAAGTGGAGGAAGCCGGGCGTGGTGGCACACGCCTGTGATCTCAGCACTTGGGAGGTTGAGGCAGGAGGATGGCTGTGAGTTCGGGGCCATCCTGGGCTACATAGTGAGTTGAGGGCCAGCCTGAACTAGAAGGGAGACTTTGCCTCAAAAAACAAACAAACAAAAAACAAAGAAAGTGGATGAAGACACGCTATAATGTTTTTGTAAGCCTGCCTTCTGATAGGGTGGTACTAGGCAGCAACATTCACTGTATTTTTTATCAGAGCTCATAAAGACACAAAAGTAGACTTCCAGGCTCCTTTAGAAACTACCAAGAAGCATGGGATAAGTGTGTTCAAGGTGAGGGGAATCAAGCTGGGCGAGGTGCCACATCCCTGTAATCCAGCACTGGGGGGAGGCTGAGGGAGGAGGATCGCCAGGGTCTCACTGTGTATTTCAGGTTGGACTCGAACTCAGGGCAGTCCTCCTGCCACAGCCTTCAGAGTGCTGGGATTGCAGGCATGTGCCACCACCATGCCTGGCCAGTTTTAAAGATTTTAAAACACTGTATTTTTTAAATTGTACTTGTGTTTGTGACTCAATTTCTGCACTTACACAAGTTGTTTAGAAATAATTTAGCACTGTAATATAGGAAATGTTATTTTCAATTTTTAGCCACTGACACTATGAGAGAGGTATACAACGTTCTGAAGAATATTTTTGATGTTTTAAGGAACTGATTGTCATTAAATCTGATGTTCCAAAGACATTATGGTTCTTGTGGATATTCTGGAAAGAAAAATAATGGGTGTATTTACTTTGGATTAGCTTGGTACTTTCAGAAGTTGGAAAAGAATTGGCAGACTTATAAGTTTATGTTGTTTAGCCATAGTTTTTGCTTCCTTCACGTTAGTTATGTGGTATGTAATGATTTTAAAGTGACCTTTTAAAGAATAATTTTGTGATAAATTTTAAGCAAGATAGCTCTTTCATCAAGAAAAATTTTGAATGATTTAAATTCAGAATTTGTTATCTAATTTGGATTTTAGAATATCCTTTACAGCATAGCTGAAACAGATGAATTTATATATACCTATATTGCCATAATTTATAATACCTCACAGATTAGAGTGTACTTCTAAAGTATACAAGTAAAATATGGAGCCTTATCCAAAGAAAGAAAGAAAGAAAGAAACAGCACATTATTTAAATCTTTAGATTGCAGAATAGTGGTGCAGACTGGACTTTTCCTTGAAGCTTCCTTCAAATACTGGAGTAGGTGGATAAGAGTGGTAGTGAGGAGGGTGTGTCTCCCAGGCCTTGTCTACCTGATGTCCCTGCTGGGGGAGTGGTAGGGATTTCCAGGGAAATGCAAAGCCACAGTTAACTTCACATACCTTAGGGCATGCAGCCCTCAGTCAGTGATGGTGGGCCTTTTACAGTCTTCAATGATACAAACAGCCCACTGCAGCAGGTGTGCCATAGGTTCGCCATCACTGCCCTAGATGTTGTGGGTGACTTGAATTTATTCTTTTTTTTTTTCCTTTAAAATTTTTTCTCTTAGCCGCTGTGTAGCAGGAATATATTAATGTCTTTTTGACTCTGTTTGTTTTAATAGCTCAGCGTTCACAGCTGACAGGTATAGGAAGAGAAAACTTTTGGAAAACTCATCACTAAACAGTAAATTATTAAAAGTAAATGTAAGTAAAATGTATTTAAATATAAGAGTTGGGATCTAATCGCTGTTCTATTAAAAATGTAACTTTCAATGTTGTCTGTTATAAAACTTTAATAACCCGTGCCTTGAATTGGGAATAGTTTACAAAGTGTTTGCCTCTTGTACTGATGATTCTGATGCCACCCCAGTGAGTGCCTCTGTCATTTCTTTCTTCCATCAGAGTTACCACTGTGCTCCTCTGCTTTAGAAACAGGACCCTCTTCATGCCTACTCACTTACCTTGCTATTCCATGTCTGTGGGATCTCAGAGACCCTCGTGTTAAAAGTTCCTAGTGCAAGTTCTATGGGTCTGACCCTTTGGCGAGTTTTATTTCTTAGGACTTGGTTAATATAATTCCCCCATACAAGAATATGCATCCTCACTCAGGTAACCATCTGTTATAATGGTATATGACTATTAATAGGTTAACAGAATTTAGAGATCATTAAACATTTTTAAGTGAACCAGTATTTTTGTCCTGCACGTACGTACCCCTTTGCTGTTGCACTAGCTGTGTTTGGACACAAAGTCTTAGGATTTTTTTGGGGAAAAAAAACAGCTTATGTGCTCTCATAGCCACCAGAATTATAGGCAGAGATAGTGTGGGTTAGATTGGCAGATTTCCTTTGTTGGTATACTATTCACACATTGTGGTGCATTTGTAGAACTAATCAGAAAACCAAGCCTCAGGCTGGATATGGTGGTGGATGCCTCCAATCTCAGCAGTCTGGGAGGCTGAGTCAGGAGGACTGAAAGTTCTAGCCCAAACTGGGCAATTTAGCAACTCAGTGAGAGTGTCACAAAATTTTTTTAAAAAGGGCCAGGGTTCAATCCCCAGTACAAAGCAAAACAGAAATCAAGCCTTGGTGTTTAAGAGAAATGCAGATAATGTCTTAGTTACTTTTCTTCTTGCTGAGGCAAAACACTTGACACCTACAAGTTAAAGAAGGAAAAGTTTATTTACCCCAAGTTTGTAGAGTTTCAATATATGGTCAGCTGGTTCCAAGGCATGGCAGAGAGGGCATCACAGAGGAGAAACAGTCCATTGTAGGGCAGGCAGGCAGAAGCAAGGAGCAGCAAGTGACAGCAGCAGCTTTCGGTCCCTTATATTCCACTCAGGCTGCCTGTCCTTAGGGCAGCACTCACACCCATGGTAGGGCACCCTTAATCCCAGCATCATACACTTAATCCCAGTACGACACACCTAGATCTAGTCACCTCCGAAAATCCTATGACTTTGAGGCTTTTGGGGGGCATCTAGATACAAGCCATAAGAGAGGTTTTCTATTTTGGTTTTGTTCTTATTGAGGCAAGGTCTTACTGTATAGTTCAGGCTGGCCTCAAGCTCACAGTGGTCCTCTTGCCTCATCTTCCTGAATGCTGGAATTACAGGTGTGCACCACAACACTTGTTACTACAGGTAGTTTCTTAAGGGTTAGATCCCATCACTAGGACATGTTGGTCATTTATTCAAGTCTTAAAGTTAAAAGTTTGGGGGCAAAAATACTGGGGTCTTATGTATAATTTCTCAATTTCTATTTTGCTATCTTATAAAGATAATCATTTTAAACTTCATTTTTCTTTTCTTTTCTTTTTTGCATTGTTTACTCCATGATACTTATTAGTGCTTATTTCCTCATAATTTTTCAACCAAGAAACTCTCATTTAGAACAATACCAGGATGAGAAATTGCCTTCTAAAAATGCACACTTACAAAAAGAGTACTGCAGAAAGAGAGCTTGACATATACCTTGAACATAAAAAGATGAAGCACATCTGTAATCTTAGCAGTCTGGGAGGCTGGGGCAGGATTACACATTCCTCCACAGCCTGGGAAAGATAGCAACTTAGACCCTGTGTCAAAATAAATAAAGGGCTGAGGTCGCAGCTCAGGGCAAAGGCCCTGGCTTCTGTCCCCTATTACTAAAAACAAAAAACCAAATGAAACAAAAACCACTTCCAGGTTATCTCGGTCCTGCAGTTTCAAATAGAAGCCTTTGCTTAGTTTTGATGTTTGGAATGGACAGTCTTCTGTTCCTGATGGTCACGTGTTCCGTTTCACAGGGAAGCACCACTGCCATTTGTGCTACGGGTCTTCGGAATTTGGGAAACACATGTTTCATGAATGCCATCCTTCAGTCACTCAGGTAACACTAGACTCAGAGTTGACTATCTGCCAGTAGAGGTTCTGAAGCCTCTGGCTTCAGATCTTACATCTGCCACTAAGCATAGTCATACAGCTGGGGCAAGTTGCCTCAACTTACTGTGCCTTAATTTCCTCATCAGTAAAATTGGAGATAATCATTCCTTCCTTATAGGATAGTAGGCAAGATTAAATAATATAGTCTGTTGTGCTTAAAGCAGTGCTTGGTTGTAACTATTAGCTGTTATTATTTCTTTCTTTGCTTATTGAATAGGCTAGAGTGGGAGCAGCAGACTTTTACTATAAAAAGCAGAATAGTACATATTTCAGTTTTTTAGGCCATACGTATGTCTCCCATGTTTTCTCCCCTCTACATTTTCATTGTTAAAGACAAATCTTTAAAAATGTAAAATTCACTGTAAAAATGTAAAAGCTCTTTGGCCACAGGCTAGATCGTATCTGTGGACCAGAGTTTGCAGACCCCCTGAGCTGCAGCAGTCCTGGTTCAATGAGCTAAGTCATAAGATCACATTTACCAGATCTTCAGAATGTAAGACAAACAGTACAAATTAAGTAGCCAACAAGGTTGACCTCAGTAGAAGACATTAGTTTGAAAGTTGTTTACTTTTAGATTTCAGTGAGGCATCAAAGGCTGGGGTAAACTGTCTTCCCTAAATCATATTGCTTGTAAGGAGCAGAGCCATATTTAATGTTTCCTTGAAGGTACTGCCTCTTGTCTACTTGTTCTTGCTCAAAGAAAAAATATAGTTCCCATTAAAATAGCTTTATAATTTTCTGTGTATATTGAAATAAAATGGATGGCTTCATTATTTGTTCTTATTTGAGGAAATTATTAATTATACAGTGGTGCCTCAGCTCACAAACTTAATTCACTCAGCGATTGTAGAAAAGATGTCCGTGGTTGTGTTTGTCACCTAATGCAGAGTTCATAGAGAAAAACAAAACTTTGCCAAATGCTTCTGTTTAAGATCCAAATTATTCACACAACCAAATCATTCGTGAACGGAGGTTGCACTGTATAGAATCAAGCACCCTGAGAAGAGCAGTGTGACAACTTATACATAGAGAGGAAATTGGAGATTTTTTTTCTTTTGAGGAGTTTTAAGTTCTTTGTTCATTTCTACAAAGTTGTCTGTTTCTCAGCCAGGAATTTAGCTCAGCGGTTCCACTGCCTGCCTTGCAAGCACAAGGACCCGAGTTTGATCCCTGGTACCAAAAAAAAAAAAAAAAAAGTTGTGTTTCTCAGAGTGAGCTAAGAACCATAGTATGGAAAAAATTCCATGCAGGAGATTAAATTGAGTACAATTTAAATGAGACAGTTGAAAGAGCATACTTAAAAAACATATATGTAATGTAATTTTCATAGACTTTTGTTTATAGTCTTACTAAATTCTTTTCTTTTTTAAAATAATTTTCTTTCCTCTAAAATAGTAACATTGAGCAGTTTTGCTGTTATTTCAAAGAACTGCCTGCAGTGGAGTTAAGGAATGGAAAAACAGCGGGAAGGAGAACATACCACACCAGGAGCCAAGGGGACAGCAATGTGTGAGTGATCAGTGTGTCCTTTCCAGCCTCGAGCTGCAAAACAAGGGACTCTACTGGTGATTTTTATCATACTATTTGAGCTTAAGCATCTACTTGGCATCCTTAATAATTGTTGGAATCCTTTCATTTCTTTTTACTAGAACAGGAAGGATAGTTTTGCACCCTGAATATCGAGTCTGCAGATTCAGGCATTCTAGAATCGACAGGTATACATGCAGCAGAGTTCTAGGTGCAGACAGACATGAATATCATTAGTTCTTGTGAAGTGCTATGTCTCATAGTGTGAGGTAGCCCTGTCTTGGCTAATAAAATTAATTTGTAGTCAGCAAATTAATTGAAGGGCAATTCAGTCAATTTTTAGTTAATATGGAAAAGAGAAAAAACAGACAAGTGATAATTAAGAACCAGCTATATATTCATATTCATTGCAGCAGCCTTGCCCTGTATGGGGCTCAAAAGATTTGCCATACTGTCATGGTTATAAGGTGCACATTTTTGTTACCTTTTCTGAAATAGGGCTGTGATGTATATTCTGTATATATTGAGCGTTAGCTCAGCCTACTCATCCCCATTCCCCCACACCCTCATTCCCACTTGTCCTGAACTCCATTTTCTTTCTTTTCTTTTTTTTTTTTTTTGGTACCGAGGATTGAACTCGGGTCCTTGCACTTGCAAGGCAGGCCACCAAACTGCTGAGCTAAATCCCCGGCCCCTGAACTCCATTTTCTAAGCCAGGAGTGCCTTGCCTTAGTGGCTCAGGGAGAGTAGAATAGCACTTGGCAGAATAGGGATGTGTGGACTCTACAGCCAGGCATTGACACAGGCGTGGAATGACATCATGAGAGTGGTACTGGAGGGGTTTTTGCCATGGTAGCAGCATGTAGATGAGCTGGGTAGTGCCTACATTCAGCTGGGCTGGAGGAGATAGCAGTGAAATGAAGAGGGAAAAGTGCATGTGTGCAAAGGTTAAGGGTGGAATTAGTGCATGATGAATTGGTTTCATTCAGGGCTGAGTTACAGACTGCAGTCATCACCATTGGCTGATACAAACAGAACAGGAATTTACTGAAGGGCTGTTGGTGAGCCATCCACTACCTCGGGCTAGAAGGTCGGGTCTGGGGTCTAGGGAGCCAGCCTCACAGTTATAGCCACCCATAGAACCGTCCTGTCTGCTTCCACTGCACAGCACTGCTGGACTTGGGGACAGTGACTGCTGCTGTGACTGATGCCACTGGACTTTAGGGAGGCCGAGTAAGCGGCTGCTTGAACTTAATTGTAATTGAAGTTGAGTATGTCAGTTTAGTGACTTGCATAGAAAACCAAAATTAATGGTGACTTAAATATCCACGTTTCCTTATATGAAGCTCAGAGATTTTCCAGGACTGTCTCACAAAGTCCTAGGACTTCTGGCTTTTCTTCTGTGAGCCCTAAAGTGGGACTCTTATCCTCATGGCCTCAGATATATTGCGGTTGTGTGCTGTCACATCCTCATTCCAGCTTGGGGATAAAGGAAGGGTTTACTAAGAAGAGCTCCTTTTTTTCTTTAAGCAAATTTCCTAGAAGTTGGGCACACTGTTTTGTTTTGGTTTGGTTTGGTTTGGTTTTTTTGAGACAGGGTCTCACTGTGTAGTTGAGACTGACCTGGAACTCATTATGTAGCCCAGGCTGGTATCAAACTCACAGCGATCCTCCTGCCTCAGCCTCCTGAGTGCTGGGATTACAGGCCTGCGCCACCACAACCAGCTTCGTTTTTATCTTGGGAGTTCAACTGCTCGACCAAAAAAGGGAGTTCTATTGTTATGAAAGAAGTAAAGAATGGATACTGGGAAACAGCTGAAAGAGTTTGGAGAATAGCAGCACTTTAAAAGGTTGAAGTGACAACAGACCCTTCTCTAAGAAAATTCCCATTGGAAATGGGGAAACCTGAATTGGAAGGTCATGAGAAAGTGATGCTTAGATTTGGGTTTGAGAATCACTGATACAGAGCTGGGGCCACATGGACTTGGAGGCAGAAGCAGCAGATGGTGCTGAGCTGGAGTCTGGGAAGTGCTCCTGGTGAGGGTCCAGAGGAAACCTCAGGAGATGGAGAAGATCCATTGCTGAAGTCTTAAAAATTGACACTCTGAAGTAATTTGGCTTGGAAATTACCCACAGCTTTATTGTCTTTGTGTGTTTTTAAATTTCAGAATGTACAAATAAGGTAGTAGTTTGGCACAGTAAAGCTAAACTTGTGATTAAAAAATGAATTTTGTCAGTAATTGCTGCTGTATACATGGGCCTTTGATATATACTTACTTAGCTGTGAGAATTAACTTAGGAAAGACCAAGTCCTCTTAGAGTTTTCATTTTTTATTTATTATGTGTTTTAGGCAACAGTGCATTATGCGTTGAAATAGTGTCCCCTCCCTGACTAATAGTAAAGGTATCATCTTTTCCTCTTTTCCAGGTCCTTGGTAGAAGAGTTTAGAAAGACACTTTGTGCTTTATGGCAAGGCAGCCAGACTGCCTTTAGTCCAGAGTCCTTGTTTTATGTTGTTTGGAAGATTATGCCGAATTTTAGGTAAGTATTAAAGGTTATCTAAAAACAGTAATATTCATCTTTACATTGCCTTTAAAACATTCTAATGAAGTGATGGTATTCCAAATACTCTGAATAATGGATGTTTTAAAAGAAGAACAGAGGAATACATAGAAATAATGGACATCAGAAAGGTCTTTAACAGGGCCAGGGATTTAGCTCAGTAGCACTGTGCTTGCTGGTCAGGCGCAAGGTCCTGAGTTCAATCCCTGGTACCAAAAAAAAGAAAGGTCTTTATCAAAGAGTTTTTTTTTTTTTTTCCCCCCAAAAGTAAGGCCCTCATGTACTAAGAAACCATAATGGACAAAATTTCCTTGATTCTTTCAAAATCTTTTGAGAAATAATTGCCATCATACACTGTCTTTTTATTCCAGCTACAAAAATTGTAATGAAATTAGTAGTAACCCATAGTGTTATGTTCACTGTTCTGGTCCTGGATTTGAAGCTCCAAGGAGACTAGCCACATCCATTAGGATGCTTCATGTGGTAGCTGCCCCTGAATGTGGTGGTGCATGCCTGTAATCCCAGTTGTCTGGGAGGCTAAGGCAGGAGGTTTGCAAGGTGTAGAGCCCAGTCTGGGCAACTTAGCAACTTGGTGAGACCTTATCTGAAAATAAAAATTAAAAGATGGACTAGGAATTATAACTAAAGGTAAACTCCCCGGTTTTAATACCCCTGCCCCCCCACACAAAATAACAGCAGCATACACTAGTGTTTCCAGGGTCCTTGTGTTACCCATGCTTCCTCCCTGGCCCCTTATAACTGTCAGAGGAACCCCGCCTCTAGATGAGCCATCCCTGAGGGGACTCAGGTAATAGCAGATGTGGGGCACTGCAGGTGCTGGACAGCAGCCTCTGCCACCTTTGGTTGGTTTTGTGTTGAAGCAAATCATGGTTCTTTCTCATCACAATTTGGGTGCCTAATAATATACATCCTTTTCCTTTATTTGAAAACATTACACTGTGATAAAACTTACCAACAAGTCTTGCCCTATGGCCTCATAAGTTGTAGTATAGAAACATGTTTAAAATCATCTTGGGGAATAGTTACATATACATAGCACAGCTTGTTTATTGTTTAATCCCCTTCCTGTTCCCTCTTTCTCCCTTCCTTCTCTAATTCCACCATCCCACTTTTATAGGACTGTAATTTACTGCCTTGCTGAGAAGTCTAGCCTTGAGGATCTGATCTAAGTAACTGTTGTTAACCCTGGCCTTTGTTTTAAAGGAAACTTGTGTATAGTACCATGCTATTTGAGTCTCCTCTCAGGAGAGACTAATTTTATATGAATTTTATAATTTCCTGACTCTAGGAAAGGCAGAAATCACTGTTATGATACCACCAGTCAGGGCTGGACTTAAATAAAGTTTCTAGCATAGTCACCTAGTTAGGTTCTTGGTAGGGGTTTAATTTTTGCATTTTCTTTGAAAAAATTTTTTTGCAATACATGTTTGCAGTTTGTGCAGTTCACAGTCATCTTGGGGAATGGTTACAAGTACACAGCACCATTTGTTTATTACTTAATCCCTTCCTGTTCCTTCCTGACTTCCCCCTCCCTTTTCCTCCAATTCTACTATCCCACTTTTCATTCTTGTTAATATTGTTGTTTTTAGCTCATGTTATGGTGTATACTGTTTACATTCATCAGACTATAGGTTCCTGTACATGGCATATCTTTATTCTGCTGATTCCCTTTCTCCTCCCCTTGGCCCCTCATCCTTAGCACTTGGACCCCTTCCTATCTGCAAGAGAGCCAACCCTTGTCTCCTTCTATCCAACCTTTGTTATTCTCTTTGTACCTTCCCTCACTCAAATGAGAGGCATCATGTGGTATTTAAGCTTGTGTGTCTGGTTTAACTCACTGAATTTATATTTTCTAGGTGCATCCATTTTCCTACAAATGTCTCAAATCTCGTTCTTTATAGCAGAGTAGTAGTCCATCATACATAGATACCACATTTTCTCTATCCTATCATCTGTTGATGGGTGCACAGGCTGTTTCCAGGATTAGCTATGACAAGTTGTGCTGCTATAACCACTGGCATGCATGCATCACTATAGTATGATGACTTAAGCTCTTTGGGGAAGATACCCAGCAGGGGGATTGCTAGGTCATATGGACTTTCTAATTTCAGTTCTTTCAGAAATTTCCATACTGATTTCCATAATGATTGTACTAGTTTATATTCCCACCGACAATGAAAGTTCCTTTTTCACTATAGCCAGGCCAGCATTTGTTATTGTTTGACTTAATGATTGCCATTCTTTCTGGAATAAAATGAAATCTTAGTGTTGTTTTAATTTGCATTTCTCAAATGGCCAGTGATGTTGAACATTTTTTAATGTATTTGTTGACCATTTGTATTTCTTCCTCTGCAAAGTGTCTGTTCATTTCTCTTGCCCATTCCTTGACTGGATCTTTAATTTTAGGTGGTTTTGTTTTTGTTGTTGTTGTTCTTTGTCTGTTCTAGACATTAGTCCTCTGTATGAGGAGTAGGTGGCAAATATTTTTTCCCGTTCTGTAGGTTGTCTCTTCACTACTGATTTTTTTTTTTTTTTGCCGTACAGAAGCTTTTTAGTCTGATATAATCCCTTTTGTTGATTCTTGCTGTCACTTCTTGTGCAGTTGAGGTTCTGTTTAGAAAATCTTTTTGTATCCTATGTCTTGAAGTGTTTTTCCTATTTTATCTTCCACTAGGTTTAATGTTTAGGTCTTTGATCCATTTTTATTTTAATCTAGTGTATGGTGAGAAATAAGGGTGTGTTTTCAGTTTTCTGCACAGAGATAATCAGTCTCCCCAGCACCACTTGTTGAGTAGGCTGTCTTTTCTCCATATACCATTTTGTCCCCTTTGTTGAAGATCAAATAACTGAATGTGTCCAGGGGAAGTTTCTGTATCCTCTTTCTGTCCCACTGATCCATGTATCTGTTTTTGTTCTGGTACCATGCCATTTTTATCTCTTTTGATTTGTAGTATAGCTTAAAGTCAGGTATTGCTATGCCTCCTGCTTTGCTCATTGCCCAAAATTGCTTTTACTATATTGATTCTACCTATGCAGGAGCAGGGGACATCATCCCATTTTCTGATGTCTTCTTCAAACTCCTTTTTTCAGAGTACTGTTGTTTTTTCTTTGTAGAGGTCTTTCACTTCTTGGTTAGGTTAATTCCTAGGTATTTTGTTTTTCTTGAAGCTACTGTGAATGGTATTTTCATAATTTCCTTCTCATTCTATTCACTGTTGTACATCAATGCTATTGACTTTTGTGTGTTGATCTTGTATCCTGGTATATTGCTGGTTTGTTATTCTAAGAGTTTTTTGGTAGAGCTGAGTCTTCTATGTAGAGTATCATGTCATTTGCAAATAATGATAATTTGAGTTCCTCCTTTCCTATATCTATATCCCTTTTATTTCTTTTTCTTGCCTAATTGTTGTGGTTGATGTTTCAAGTACTGTGTTAAATAGAAGGGGTGATAGTAGACATCTTTGTTCTGATTTTAGGAAGGAATGCATTTTTTCCTCCATTTAGTATGATGCTATTGGTTTGTCATATATAGCTTTTATCATATTCAAGTATGGTCCTTCTATACCTGTTTTCTTCTGGGTTTTCATCATGAAGGTTATTGGATTTGTCAGAAGCCTTTTCTGTATCTATTGATATGAACATATGGGTTTTGACCTTGCTTCTGTTTATGTGATGCATTACATTTATTGACTTACGTATGTTGAGCCATCTTATATCTGGGATGATCATGTATGATCTTGACGTGTGATCTTTTTGATAATCTGCATTCTATTTGCTAATATCTTGTTGAGGATTTTTGCATCTATGTTCATTAAAGAGATTAGCTTATAGTTTTTTTAGTTGGGTCTCTATCCAGTTAGGGGATCAAGGTGGCTTCCATGAATGAGTATGGGAGCATTCCATTTCTTTCAATTTCTTTGAAGAGCTAGAGGAGTATTGGTGATGTAAAATCATTAAAGGTTTTATAGAATTCAGCAGTGAACCCATCAGATCCTGGGCTTTTTTAGTTAATAGGCTTATTACTGTGTCTATTTCATTGCTTGTTACTGGGTTCTTAAGCATATTTATGTCTTCTTGGATTAGTTTTGGTAGTTTTTGTGTATCTAGGAATTAGTTGGAATATAGTTACTATCTTTGGGATTTCCAGTGTCTGCTTTTTCATTTCTAATTGCATTGATGTCATTTCTTGATTTCTACTGGTAAGTCTGGCTAGGGGATTATCTATTTTATTTATTCTTTCAAAGAACCAGCTCTTCATTGTTTTTTTATTTTTTGTTTTTTTAGACTCAATTTCATTGATTTCCACTTGCTTTATAATTTCCCTCCTTAATTTCATTTGGGGATGATTTGTTGTTGTTTCTCAAGTATCTTAAGATTTCTTATAAGGTTATCTATTTGAGCTTGCTTTATTTTCCAAATGTGAGTGTTGAATGTGATGAATTTTCCTGTTAGATCTGCTTTCATAGTGCCCCAGAGTTTTGACAAGTTGTGCATCATTGTCATTAACTTCCAGTCATTTTAAATTTTCTTCTGTGATCTCTTGGTTGTTTAGGGGTATATTGATAGTTTTCCAGGAGCTTTTGCCTTTTCTGAAATTTCTTCTGTGCTGATTTTTATTTTCATTGCACAGTGGTTGGATAGTATGTATGCGGTAATTTCTATTCCTTTATATTTACTTAAGCAGGCTTTGTGGACTAGTATGTGATCTGTTATGGAAAAATACCATGTGCTGCTGAAAGGTGTATACTCTGTGGTAGAGGTATGGAATACTCTGTATGTACCCATAAAGTCTGTATGTGTGGTATGGTTCAGCTCTAAAGTTTTTTTATTGTTTTTCATTTAGTTGATCTATCCCTTTGACAAAGTGGGATGTTAAAATCTACTATGATTGTGTTAGTGTTTATTTGATCATTTAATTTCAGCTGTTTTGTTGTATGAAGATAGATGCTCCAGTGTTA